ATCGACCTGGGTTGGCATGGAACTGGCTTTGCGGCGTTCACGCGAGCTGCTGTTGCAGCTCTACCCTGCTCCTGGGTCTGATGCCCCAGCGCCTGGGGTGGGAGATGCTGACCTGGCCTGAGCCCGGTCTGGTGGAGGCTTGGGAGGGATTTGGATATGGTGTGGGGTCTCCTTAGCCAGGAACCGGTGAGGCATGTGCTGGGGGCGTGAGGTGCCGAGGGGCAGGTCGGTGCTGGTGCTGGACGGTAGTTCGGGAGGAGGCACCGTGACAGTGGTCTGCTGCACTGCGCGGAGCAGCGGTTGGGCAGCTTTCGCCTTGAATTTGTGTGGCCCCTCTGCCAACCTGCCTGAAAGCTGGAGGATGGTGGTGGCACCTGGGGGGTAGTTTAGCACGTGACACCTGATAAAGTACCACGCAAGCAAGAACCCGCTGGTCCCCTGTGTGCGAGAGGGACAAGGTCCCGGTTCACGCTGCAGGCAAATGAGACTTGGCAAGAGTAAATTTAAACATGCAAACTGCTGATCCTCTGCGGTTTCAGCCCCAGCGCAAGATGTGCAAAGGGCCAAGCGTGTGGCTTTGTTTTGGGATGACACAGCCTGCGCAGACGCTCTGTGCAGCTTGGTTATAGCCTGCCCCGGGGGCAGGAAGCGTTGCTGACCCCTTTGCACTGTGCCTGCCAGGAGGCTGGGAGTCACCCGGGAGCACTGAGCAGTGACTTTGTACCCATGACATCATGCCAGCGCAGCAGGCAAAGGGCAAAATTGTGCATTAATGCATCTCCCAGCAAACTGCTGTCCTGGCCAAAGGAAAAGCCAGGGGAGGGGGTGGTTATTCTGCTTTTGCCTGTGCTGCACATGCCTCCCGGGTCACTTCTAGCTTTGCTACTCGTTTCTGCTAGCAGAAATGCCTTGTGCAAGCTTTGCCCCAAGATGTGGGTGTCCCGCTCAGCAGGGCCCTGGTCCTGCGTGTGGGTCTGTGCTCCTCCGGCCCCGGGAAAGGAGCCAGGGCTGAAACCTGTCAATCAGAAGCACGTCTGCTGCAAAACGTGGGGCAGCCGGGTCCACGCTGGCCCCGGCACGGAGCCAGCCGCTCGGGCGCGCGGGTCAGTACAGCTTGTAATCCTGTGCCTGC